ACATACTTACATATCAGTATATTTCTCTAGGCAAGCGTCGATAAATATCCTCATATCGTCGCTTATCATTTGTCGACCAGGATATTCTATTTTGGTAGGAGCTGGCCTTGGTGCAGGTGATCTTTGACTATCAACTTCAATCACAGCTTTTGTAAGTTCTAACTTAACTGGGGAGGGCCTAGCAGCAGCTTTTTTTAACACCTTCCTCTTATGTTCACCCTTGGTGTATGGTGTCTTAACCTCCTTAGCTCTACGGTCAGCCCGATGTCTCACACGTTTGGCTATGCCTGAGCTGCTTGTTTCAGGTTTGGCAACAAAATCCTTTATTGGCTGGGTGTCTTCAAACATATATTCAGCAATAACCTCTGCACACTCAGCCTTCTTCATTTCATTACTGATAGTCCTAGATGAAGATTGAACATGAACTGCTGCAGTTGAGGAGTTGAATGAAGGGAAGTTAGCAGATAAGAACATCTCCATTGCTTCCAATCTCTTATTCATCTCCCTCTGCTCAAAAACATAATGTTCAAGAGCCTCCATTCTTCTTTCATTCAGAGACATTGTTGTCTCCAAGGTTATTAACCTACTTCTTAAAAATCTATTTTGATCTAAAAGCTTCTGTACATAATCACCTATATATTCCTGTTGTCCTTCAGGTGGGGGAGTATGTTGCTGCTGCTGCTGCTGCTGGGTATGTGACATAGGAGGTGTTTGAGTGCTTGGTCCAACAGGACTGATTGGGCTAGGGGGCGGCCGAACTGGGCTTGGGGGCGGGGTGCTTTGCCTTAGAGGACTCTGGGGTGTAGGAGATGTTGGGGGTGTATGAAGATGTTCATGAGGTGTGTGCAAGATGAGATCTTTGTTAGGAACTTTGTCTGGTGAAGTCTGTGGGGTCTGTTTTGGAGTGTTTGCTAATAAAGCCCTCTCCTCAGTTGTTATAGCATCAAAAGAAGTTAATAAATGACCAACTTCAAGACCATCTAATAAACTAGATGCATCTGCGTCGTTATAAACTACATCGGATCCCCAGCGGAGAAACCTTGGTCTTGCCTTCGAGTTCAATGGTTCGTGGAGTGTATAATGTTCAAGAAACCAGATCTGAACTAATACATAAGAAAATCAACGTAAAATATATCTAACAATTTAATACAAAACAATTTAAATTCGAAGCACTCACAATTATAATATGAACAAATCCATTCAGGTAACCGAGTGGCTGTCCTTTCTTCATCTTTTTTGCAATGGCGTTAAAGTCAGCAACAAGGAATTCTCTGATTGAATCCGGCCAATTGTACGATAAAAATTTCTCAACATTTCGAGCCACACTGATGACAGAGGCTGGTGTTCGATAGTTGTGCAGAGGAAAAAATAAGTTTGACAGCAAAAAAATGATGAATTTCTTCAAAACATCGGGCATTTTTGTAGATTCATCCAAACTAATCACCTCCTTCCTAATATCATTGGCTGATTTACCTGTTATTCTAGCACTACCAATTTCAAAGTTGTTTCCTCTGTTTGGTAATCCTAAAATCATAGCAACTTCATCGGCAGTGAATTGTAAAATCTGATCCTTAATGAGAAAGCATTGTTTCTTACTATCCCAGCAGGACAACAACTTGTAAACCAACGGCACATTCTGCACTAGACGTGGCATAAAAAGAAAATGATGCAGATTATATTGCTTCAAACTCTCAACGAGGTTCTCGCCAAATATTTCCACTAAATGATCACATACTTCTCTGAAGGTTGAGGTTCTGCAACGGAAACTAATCTTCGGCACATATCCCTGCGTTATTGATTAGGATAAATTTAATTCCAGTTTGGTACATCTACGAACCGGTCGTTACCTATGGATACAATTCGGTACCTAGAGGTACCGAATAGTACCTAGAGGTACCGAGTGGTATCGAGCGAAACCAGGAAAAAAATTACAATACAACTCGCTACCGACGAGAGTCCATGGAATGCGGTAAAATCAAGAATAAACTCTAACAACAAACCCTATATCTACAAGGACTTATAGAACTTAGAATGCTTACAGAAATATCCAAGCTTAATCTGGAAGGTGCCGCTGGGTACACATTCGGATAACGCAGCGGTACCGACCGGTACCCAACAATACCGAGCGGTACATTTTGTCACACAATTTAACGGGCAAATGGCATTCACAACATCATTCAAACTAAACCCTAAAAGCTCAAAATTATCGAAAAATGCATAAAACTCAAGAAAATCAAACCTTTCACATTGCCACGATGAAGCTCAGCAGGCTTAGCGTAGAAGATGAAGTGGCTTCGTTCGAAAAATACAACCTGCAACTTCTCCTTGTGGAAGATGGACTGTAGTCTAGCAAATCGCCCGAAAAAGAAAGAAGGAAGCGACGTTTCAGATGTTCTCGAAGATATGGGTACCGCGCATTTTTTGAAGTAGTTCGGATGGTTCGTGTTATCGGGTGAACAGAGCACACGCTCTCCTCATTACGGTGGGGTCAAGGTGGGCCCCACGTGGCGCGAAACTACTTATTTGCATACACAGAACTACGTCCGCACTCCGCACCCAAAAGGCCCTTGCTTGTGAAGGGGCGCCGCCATTCCTCTCCGTGCAAGGTTCCGATGCGGCCCATCTCTCCTCACGACTGCTTCTTCTCCTCGCTGAATCGGGTTATAAAAACATTCGCTTGTTTTAATCTTCATTCCAGTATACTTTTCTAAAAAGACCTTAATTCTTCCTCCCCAAATCTTGCAGGTCGAGAAGAGATTGGCTTCCGAGAAAGAATCCATTTCCTTCGCGACACCCCCCTCGCCAATATCCTTCGGATCCCCTTTGTACCTCTCCTCGCCCAAACCCCAACCCGCTTCCTTCAAACCTTCCGCCCTCGACGAAAGCAGCGGCCCTGCGCCGGAGTTCCTCTCAATCCCGCCAATGGTATACGACCCGGCTCCGCCACTGGCAGCCCAGAAAGAAGAATTCAAATATGAAGAAGAAGATGATGAAATTGATCGCCTCATCAGTCTTCTGGGCCTATCAGCCGACGGCGAAGAAGGAGGCGGTGGGTTGGGCTCTTGCCATTGCAGCGGAGGGGAGTTTTATCGAAGAGTGGTAGGAGTCAAGGGGCCGATTTGCGAGAAAGAAATGGGGAGGCTTGATGGTTGGATCGAGCACTACCGGCGGGAAAGGAGAGAGCCGGCAAGACTCGCGCATCTTCTTCTTGCAAAAGCTGTATCAATGGAGGCGAGCCGTGGGGGCGATGATGGCGATGATGACGATGATGCCTTCGGGGCGATTGGGTTTCCTCCGACTGTGGAGGAGTTTTTGGAGCATGACCCCCCAACTTCAGAGGGGTGAGTAAAATCTCTCTCTTGGGTATGCGGCTATGCGCTCAGTGATCTGATTTTTTATCTGAAAATGGATGACTACTTGATTAGTTTACATCGAAAGAAACTAACTGCAAATTTTTGTACTCTTTTGTTGTTGGGAGAAATGATGAAAGTGATTTTTTTTTTTTTGTTGAAAGACGAGAGGTTTATATAACCATAATGATCTTTTTGATTCCTTTTGCTATATAGCCAAACAACATGCAACTTTCAAGAAGAAAAAAATCAGCTGTAGGTTGAATTTAAACGAGTCAAACACAAATAATTAAAATAATTTTCAACATTAGCGTATTTAGAATAAATATAAAATCAAATGAGCCAAATACGAACACATAGCAAGTTTGCTCAAGTTTGATTCATTTACCCTCTAATTCAGTTGATGTTATTAAGTTTTACAAATAGTTTTATGACCATAGTAACAAATGATTAAAACATTGGTGTCAATCGGATAGAATGCTCATTTAGCTTATAAATATGACTCTTTAAATGTTATAATAATCCTAATTAATTAGGCATGAACTCGCATGGTTAGTTTGCACATCAACTTTTAATTAAAAATGAACTTGCAATTTAACAATATCTGACAACATCAATTGCTCTCAAAGATTGCTACCCATCGGCCACCATTAATGAGCATGATCATCATTGTTATGGATTATTAACGTAATATCCACAAAGTCAAAATCTAGGTAACTTATGTTAATGATTGTCAATTTTGATTTGATTTCCAATTATAAGCCGTAAAGTATTTAAGGAAGCCTTGAATAAGTCAAGAATTAGATTGTATAAATGAAATTTGAAGTCATCAAAATAGCTCTGGAGCATTACAATGCTGAGATGAGTGGCACCGCAACATTAAGTTCTTAGGTGAGGGAAAGGGATTCAATGTGCGTTGTGGCGTCGGGTGATGCCACTGTCGCGCGATGTTCAAATGAAAATATTTTGGAAGAATATTGAAGATTCTCTAGGAGCGTTGCGGCACCAAGGAGGCTAAGGTTGCGAGGTTGGGTCAGATGAGTGATTTTTAAAATAAAAAAATATCTTAAACTATTTGTTAACCTCACCATTTCCCAGCCACCTTGCTTGAGAAGAAAGGAGAAAAGAGGGAAAAGATCAAGAAATAGAAGGAAAGTGAGGGTATTTAGTAGCTAAAGCTCTAGTTTCTTTCGTCGAACTTGTTCTAGATATTGTAGAGTACAAGGTAGACTTCTTAATTCCTATCTTTTACTTTAATTCCAATGATTGTGTACAATGTTATGAATACAAATATATTTTTCTCTAATTTTATGATATTTCTTACCACTTAACTTTTAATATGTTGTCATACGCTTTATTCTGAACGTTTTGACTATATGAAATCAAACTTTTGCCGGATATTTATTTTTCTACACAAATTTCTTAGTATACAACTCAATTGAGGTCTTTCTGGCATTTGCAATAGTTATATAAAAATCTTAAAATATTCATACGAATATCTTTCTGAAGTTGGAATTTGAATAGGAAAAGATCAATGAGTATTATGTGAGACAAGCAATATGATCATTTACAGACAATTCATGCATTAATTGTGTACTACATTGCATTTACAATTTAGTTCCTATTATATTTGCATTGGCACTATTCATAGCATGGTTTTGGAGATATTTCAATAGATGAGAAATTGCACTCTCTCATATATTACAAGAGTCATATATGTTATGTTATTGCACCATCTACTTAGTGTGAATGTGGGAGGGATTCTAACCTCACTTACTGAAAGAAAGTGTGGGAAGTTAAGTGACACTGTTCTATTATGTTCTGATTTTGGCCACACTTGCTAGATGTAGGTGTGGGAAGTTAAAAAAGCACATTATTGGAAGTAGAGTTACAAATAGATATTAGAACATGTGAATTATGATCATTGCATTACATATATTAATAGTTTAATGAATAAAGCTTAAGTAATATGTTGCACCAAATATTAGTAATTTTTTTTTCTTTGTATGAGTTATGATGAAATGTAAAAGTCAAGTTCAAGTGGACCATTGATAGCAAGAGTTTTGTCAACCCTTTGTAAAAGTAGCTTCAAAGATATGAGTGGGAACTTTGAAATCATGTATGCCATGACATATTCATGTTCTTAATTATATCATGTCATATCACTCATTTATGAAAAGCATGTAGATCATGTCACATCATTTGCAACCATATAAGTAGACAGTGCATATGCATATTTCATAACCAATCACTCCATATTCCCTAAGCAATAAATTAGCATGATCATTCTTATCTTTCATAAAGTGAATCAGTATCCTTCATGTGTATTGATAGACACATAGTTGGCCTTTTTTAATCATTCCACGGTCATGACCCAGATGCTTGCAAGCAAACTCTTTAGATATCACAATGCCCAATCACATAATATGCTTGCCGGCTACTCCTTTGTCACATCACATGCGCTACCTTGACCTGCAAGTATAATACAAACTCTTACCATGTAACCATATCAGAGACCTCACCTCTTTCTTTCTTTCACATCATTAAGGCAAGAGAAGGGGATAGTGATGTAGTATTATTATGGGATATTACCACCTTTTGGATCAAATCATAAGGGTCAACCTATTTAATTTGGTTTTCATGTTACTTTCATGTTGCTTCATATCTAACGCTTATGAGTTTAATGCTACTATTTATAGCCTAGAAAAATAAATGAATAGAAGATTTCAAATTCTCTATATTATGATGGGAAAAAATAGGAAAAAATATATTAACACTGTATAAGGTTTACCAATCATCAAGCAAGATGCTTTACATGAGGATTCTTAGCTTTCTCCGCTTTCATTAGAACTCTTGCTTTGATGCTTTCTGATTTTTGTTTATGGTGCATTTTGATTTTTTTTTTCAAAAAGTCATTCTTTACAATAACTTGATCTTGTACTCATTTCATCAATTGGTTATAAAATTATTGCTTTAAAAAATGTAGGCAATAAAAGTAAACCATGAATGATAATGCAAGAGATTTGGGAGAATGAAAGTTAGCATCAATTCAATGAAGGAGATATTAAGTTTGAAAGTTAGAGAACAACAATAAGATAAGAATTATGGGAAGTAGTATCAATTAAAAAAAAAAAGATGTGTTGGTTGACAACAACCGATTTGTACAAATAATAGACTGCATAAATGTCTAGGTAACTACGATAAAAAAAGGATATGCGGGTGGACAACAACAAATTTGGAATGAAATGACAAGCATGTTTAGGTGGTTGATTGTAGCAAAATTTTGAGTAGTATTAGTTGAAAACTTTATGGAATGTTTTTCAAATTATTGTATTTATTAGTTTCCTAAAATTGTGTGGATTAAAGTATTATAAACAACACTATGTATCCCCATTTTGTATCATAACAAGACACAAGTTTTTTTATCATTATTTTCTATGTGATATCAAAGTCTCTAATAGTTGATTGTCATAAATAGTGAAAATCAAATTAATCCAATCAAAAAAGAAATTTAGAATAAACAAAAATTTGTATCAAATAATGGCAGAAATTATCTAAAATAATATCAGATTGTCATAATTATTAGTTTCCTAAATTTGTATCAAATAATGACATGCTCATTTTATAGAGCCAAAAATGGTTGACTTAGAATAATTTAACAGACTAAGGAATCTTCTCAACTCTCTTAAAAATTATCGAAAGTCATGCTCTCAAATTTAAAATGATAAAATTTTTAATTCGTGTGTGTTCAATGCCTCAAACAAATTATCCTCTAATACCATAATAGACTTAAGTGCTACATATTTCATGAAAAAATACTATTAACATATTTTTGAGTGGTATCAAAGCATAGTTTTGGAATATGGGATTGTGAGACAGAGCTATATGAATTAATCTGTGAGTCTGGTGGGGTAGTTTCTGTCTGTTCGGATTTTCATTATTTTGTTTTATATGCATGTGCATAGTTGCATTCTATGTGATATGGATCCGCCAGATCCAAATATGACTGATGGGCAGAGTGCTAGTCAGGTAGCTCCTGTGAATAGTTCTGCTCCAGTGGTTGGTTCAGATACAGTTTCACAGTTTGCTACGTTGGTTGCTCAGATGATGAGCGAGATGCGGAATAGAGTTTATGCTGTTAGATCTGAAGATGTAGATAGACATCTACAAATGTTTCTAAGATTGAAGCCTCCGAGATTTAAGGGCACTATTTAGCCCAGAGCAGATGAGGATTGGTTAAGGAGGTTGGAAAAGACATTTGATGGCATGTAATGTCCTACTGATAGAAAGGCACCGTTAGCAGTTTTTCAGTTGGATGGTGAGGTAGAACGCTGGTGGATGGGCCAGCAGGAGGAGAAATTTTAAGGTAAATTGAACTCTCTGATTACATGCAAAGAATTGTACCCCTTTCTGCAAGACAATAAATGCAGGAGACTTTTCTGAGATTGGTTCAGAGGAGCAAGACAGTTATGCAGTACGAGGCAGAGTTTACTGCTTTAGCCAGATATGCTCCACAGTTTGTGAGTACTGCTGCGAAGAAGTGCTATAGATTTCTGAGGAGACTATGAGATAGTTTGAGGCAACCCTTGGCACCATTTCACATTTTTTATTTCTCTAAGCTTGTGGAGAGAGCTCGACTAATAGAGAATGATCTGATAGCTACTCAGCAGCGGTGAACTGCTAGTAGGAAGAGATTCAATGGTGATGCATCTGGCAGTAGTTTTTCTGGGAAGAAGAATAGATTTATATCTGGATATTCCAAGAGGAGTGGACAGTCAGTATCTGCTACAATTTCTGGTAGTGGCAGTGTGGCCAATTCGGGGTCAGTCAGTGGGGTACCTGTGTGCCAAACTTATGGACGAAGAAATTTTGGCCAGTGTTATAGGATGACTGTTCAGTGTTTCAGATATGGTCAGCCAGGACATCAGATAGCAGAGTGTCCACAAGCTGGATTTGATCGACGATTTGAGTCCAGACCAGAGAGCTTTATT